ACAAGCCCTAAAAGCCCTGAGAGGGCTCAAAGGCGGTCGCAACATTAGAGCTGAATCAGAACAACCCAAAGCCTAGAAGCGTTGAGGGTCTACGGATGTAAGCATTTAGGGTTTAGGGCTTAGGGCAACTCCTAAACCCCGAAGCCCACCAAACAACTCCAACAAAACCAGCGCGCAAATTCCCAAGACCCGACCCTAAACCCTGAACCCGAAATCCTGAACCCTAGATCCTACATCCTAAGCCCTAAACCCTAAACCGTAAACTACCCGGCCGCCCCGGGCCTTTCCAGTGTGTCCGCGGCGCTCTAGCAGCTCGTAGGCGATGGATCCTCAAATGGATCTTCGAGCTTGTGAAAGGCTTGGTAAGAATAGGGTTTAGGGTTTAGGGTTTAGGGTTTAGGGTTTAGGGTTTAGGGTTTAGGGTTTAGGGTTTAGGGTTTAGGGTTTAGGGTTTAGGGTTTAGGGTTTAGGGTTTAGGGTTTAGGGTTTAGGGTTTAAGTTTAGGGTGAAAGGCTTGGTAAGAATAGGGTTCAGGGTTTAGGGCGCTTAGTCTTCCCGAAGCCCTGCACATACTCACCAAAAAAGCATAGGTTGAGCACCACATACATTTTTCTATTTCACCTTTAGGGGATTACATACAGGAGGGCACTTGTTTTGCTTTTGTGGGTGGGGGTGGGGGTGGGGGCGGTGGGGGGGGGGGGGGGGGGGGGGGTGGGGTAAACGCTACTGCCTCTCTCATGTCAGTGTTTTTCAATCAATGAGAATATATTGGGACTCCAACATGTTTCCCTAACAAAAGGTGAATGCTTACTATTTTAGCAGGTCTTCATCGTTGAACCTAGATGGAAAGTATGATCGCACTGTGCATCTTTTAAGGGGACAACCCTAAACCCTAAACCCGAAACCCCAAACAAACCCTAAACCTTCAACCCTAAACCGGAAACCCGAAACCTTAAACCCTTCCCTACTTCCCTATTGAGAACCAGTAAGACATGCAGTCTAGGATCGGAAGGGAGTGATCCCCACCCCACTGGCCAGCAGCAGCACCTGGTCCTTCACCTGAAGAGTTGTTCAAGGCAGCTAGGGCTAAGGGGTTTGGGGTTTGGGGTTTAGGGTTTAGGGTTCAGGGCTTCGGGTCTAGGAGCACTTGGAAGACAGCGGTTTGCGACTGGCGTGGTTGGACCTTGTCCTCGGTGGGAATGAAGTCTTCGCCCAGGTTCGGCACGACCATGACCTGGGATATGGAGGTTTAACAGACCCCAAATACAAGGATTCCCTTATAATCAGGACCCCAAGAAGGTACCCCAGATTTCGCAAACCACCATATTCAGTGCGGCTGAGAGGGTTTGGAGTATAGGGCACGGTGTAAGGATGAGGGTTTCGGCTTTATAGGCTCAGGGTTTGAGGAGTTGGGATGTAGGCGGTAGCAGGAACTCAAGATCGATAAGCAGGTTCAGGGCTTATCGGATTTAGGGCGCAGGGCTTAGGTTCATGGGGTAGGTAACAGAAGGGGTTTATGTTGAGGCTTAAGAGTTTGTTCAGGAGGGCTAGGCGTTGCTGGAGGTTCGTGGGCAACCTTGAGTAGGTTAAGACGCCGCGGATGCAGAGTTACAAACACTTCTTGCGGCTGTATTCACAATACTTGCAACCCATCTAGAACTACACATGTCGCGAAGTTTCTCTGGTCGATTGAGGCAGCAACAGGGCCCATCATGGAGGTCTCTCTCACCGGGTCTGCCAAGCCCCCGTGGGGCTTTAAGCCAAGGTTTGGGCTCCTTGCAACCGAAAATTCCAAGCCCTCGTAGTTTAGGGTTCAGGGTTTTCGGTTTTGGGTTGAGGGTTGAGGGGCTCCCGCAAACCTCACTCGAAAGGATACCCCCCGCACAAGAAGCCAAGACCTAGTCGGGAATGCTTATGCTGAGGATTCCGAGTCCATGATATCAAAAAGCGTCTACTATTTGCGATCCAAGTCCTGGAAGACTCCAGGGACCTTCTTTGATTGAACCCTAAACCCCAAGCCATTCAACCTTACATCCTATGCCCTGTACATGAAATCTCTGAAACCCCCGAGCCCATAAAGGTCCAGGTTCAAACCCCTCAACTCGAATCCCTCTCCCCCCCGAAGGCCTCAATATGCAAGCGCAGGGGCTTAACTCGAACAACACCCTCGGCCCTAGAAGCCCGAAGCAGAACCCTGAAGACCCTAAAGGGTTCAGGGTTCAGGGTTCAGCGCTTAGGGTTTGGGGTGCAGGGTTTGGGGTTTAGGGTTTAGGGTTTTAGGATTTGGGGTTTAGGGTTTGGGGTTTAGGGTTTAGGGTTTAGGGTTTAGGGTTTAGCCCTTGAAGCCCTGACATCCTGAAACAACCCAGCGCAGACCGGCAACGCCGGCTCCTGGCTGCAAGTTGAAGAGCCGCGGGGTCCCGTAGCCCTTCCTCAGGGTTGAGGGTTTGGAGGTTAGGGTTTGGGGTTTAGGGTTTAGGGTTTAGGGTTTGGGGTTTAGGGTTTAGGGTTTAGGGTTTAGGGTTTAGGGTTTAGGGTTTAGGGTTTAGGGTTTAGGGTTTAGGGTTTAGGGTTTAGGGTTTAGGTTTTAGGGTTTAGGGTTTAGGGTTTAGGGTTTAGGGTTTAGGGTTTAGGGTTTAGGTTAGGGTTTAGGGTTTAGGGTTTAGGGTTTAGGGTTTAGGGTTTAGGGTTTAGGGTTTAGGGTTTAGGGTTTAGGGTTTAGGGTTTAGGGTTTAGGGTTTAGGGTTTAGGGTTTAGGGTTTAGGGTTTAGGGTTTAGGGTGAGGGCTTGACGTAGATGGGGCCTATGGTACAGGGCAGGCCCCCAACCCTGAAACACTACTCTCAACCCCCCATAACCCTCAAGCCCCACAACCTTAAACCCGACCGTGAACCTTCGAAAAATTAAACCCCACAATTGGGATGTTCCCCCTTATACGAACAGTCCTTCATAGGGATTCCGAACGACCTTGCCCAATAAAAGATGACCTTGTGCCCAATAAAAATATGACCCGTGCCCACCCTCGATCCTCTTAAGAGAATACGAAAATATAACCTTGTGCCCAATAAACAAATATGACCGTCTGCCCAATAAAAATAGGACCTTCGGGGTCGAAGGTTATATTTTGCTGGGCACAAGGTCGCTTTGGACCGAACGACCTTGTGCCCAATAAAAATATGACCTTGTGCCCAATAACCCCCCGAAGGTTTAAGTCATATAGGAAATAGGGGTTTAGGGTTTAGGGTTTCGGGTTTAGGGTTTGGGGTTTGTGGTTAGGGTTTGGGTTTGGGGGCTAGAGTTTCGGGATTAGGGTTTAGGGTTTTGGGTTTAGGGTTTCGGGTAACCGTCTAAAACACCGCCAACCCCAAAGCCGAAAACCTCAAACCCCCCCAAGACACCAACATACCTAAACCCCGCAACCGACCCCATTGAGGGTTTGGGGGTTTTACGGCTCAAGCCCCAAAATCCCCAACCCTAAACCCTAAGCCCTAAACCCTAGAAGATCAACACGCCCCCTGAAATGGAGCCCCAGATTCTCTAGACTCAGGAGCAACCTAGGAATGAGAAAAGCCCCCTTTGTGGTTTTCAGGGCGTTAGAAGGGAACCCCTACCCAAAAAAAAAAAAAAAACAAGGGCCTACTCTGGGTCCCTAAACACTAAACCCCAAACCCTAAGACCCCTAAACCCCCAACCCCCTAAACCCTAGCCCTAAACCCTAAACGACCAACACGCCCCCTGAAATGGAGCCCCAGATTCTTGTCCAACTTCACCGTCACCTCCAGGGGCTCCTGTTTAGGGTTTAGGGTTTAGGGTTTAGGGTTTAGGGTTTAGGGTTTAGGGTTTAAGGGTGCAGAGAATTGGGGTCTAGGGGGTTTTGGGGGTTTGGGGGGTTTTGGGTTTTGAGTTTGGGGTTTAAAGTTTGGGGTTCGGTCGGACTTGCGTCGGTTTGGGGTTTTAGGGTCTTAGCCCCCCCCCCCCCCCTCCCCAGCACCAGCAACCCGGGAACAAGCAGGGGCAGGCGATTTTTTGCTACAAGGTGCCTTTTTTTTTGGGGACCTGGTTCCCAAGACAAATTCTCGGGCCCTGGGGGCTTCGGATTTGGGATTTGGAGCTTTGCGGCTTGAGGACTTCGAGTACAATTTTAGGGTTTAGGGTTTAGGGTTTAGGGTTTAGGGTTCAGGGTTCAGGGTTCAGGGCTCAGGGCTTGGGGAGGTGTTTCAGTGCGAAGGGCTGAGCCCCAAAACCCAAAGCATCGAATCCCCAAAAAACTTGACCCCTCAACCCCACATCCTAAGCCATGGACTCTAAACCCCAAACCCTAAAGCCTACACCCCAAACCCCAAACCCTAAACCCTGAGCCTGAAGCCCTGACCCCGCTCATCCCTCCCGACATTGGGCCTTAGGGGGTCGTGGTTTAGTCTTTCGGGTTCAGGGGGGTCGTCTTGGGTTCCTTGTGGTCGGCTTGGGTTCTTGTGGTCATTTAGGGTAAGGGCAGTTAGGGTGTGTTTTTACAACTATGAAGCGGTTGCTAGAGCATTTGGGGTTTCGTGGCGCCCAGGGTTTAGGTGTTGCACTGGGCGACTCTCTTAGCTCTTTCCAGGAGCACCATGCGCGAGAACAACGTCATGACCTCCTTTCCCAGAGACTCCAAAACCCCTTCATTAAGGAATATACCTTAAATCATATTAGGGTTCCTACTATAATTTAAGGTATATTAGCATCATTAAGGGGTTTTGGAGTCTCTGGGTTTCGCGTCGTTCCCCTGGATCCCGCTGTGGTCGCACTGGATCAGGGTCTTGTCGCCCAAGTGCGCTGAGAAGTCGATACCTCCCCGTACCGATCCCTGCCACGACAGGGTGCCCAGAGACTCCAGAACCCCTTAATTAAGGAATATACCTTAAATCATATTAGGGTTCCTACTATAATTTAAGGTATATTGCTTAATTAATGGGTTTTGGAGTCTCTGGGTGCTTGGCCAACACACGACTGCTGTCGCAAAGTTAGGTCGCACCGCTCTGACAGCGAATGAGGTCAACTCCCGTGACTTCGGACACTGCTTTTTTCGCACCAGTCTCGGGTCTAGGGTTTAGGGTTTGGGGCTTAGGGTTTAAGGTTTTAGAGGACTCGAAAACTGAAATGCATATTTCAAGATGTCCTTAGACGGGTCTGCTGAGGAGATGGTGTAGCCCCGGTAGACGTTTCGCTTCTGGTCCACCTTTCCAGGCAGTCGGGTTGAATTGGGTGGTTTGGAGGGTTTACCTCCTGGTTCTTAGTAGGGAATGAGGGAATTACGTACCCTATGCCCTGCATAAAGGGATTCTATAAGGTACACAATGCCCTCATTCCCTAGCAAAACCAGAAACCCCAAACCCTAAACCGACTAGGGTATCCCTGCCCCTATATCCACCAAAATATATGTATGTATGTATGTATGTATGTACGTACGTACGTATGTATGTATGTATTTATGTATTCATGTACTTGTGTATGTATGCATGCATGTATGTACGTATGTGTGTGTATATATATATATGTATATATATATATATATATATCCCTTTCACGGTTTAGGGTTTAGGGTTTAGGGTTTAGGGTGTATCATAGGGGCCATATACTTAGAATAGGGTTTGGGGGGTAATTCTACTATAATCACAGAGGGGCCAGAAGGGAATAATATTAGTACTTCTTCCGACCCCTATTATTTCCAGAGAAGCAGATTGCGCTTGTTGCTTGAGAACCCTGATATGCACCCTGTAAGGGGTTTAGGGTTCAGGGATTAGGATTTAGGGTGTATGTTGACCCTAAACCCTAAACCCTAAACCCTAAACCCTAAACCCTAAACCCTAAACCCTAAACCCTAAACCCTAAACCCTAAACCCTAAACCCTAAACCCTAAACCCTAAACCCTACAGGTTCTGGGAAGCCCCGCCTGCACCAGGGCATACTGGCCTGCCTTGCCACCAGCCAGGCCCTTGCCATCGATCGTTCGGAACTTGAACTTCCGGGTGTCGCCACTCAGGTCTTCGATGTCCACCAGCGTGGCCTTAGGGTTTGGGGTTTAGGGCTTAGGGCTTGTAGGGCTTAAGGTTTAGGGTTTAGGGTTTAGGGTTTAAGGTTTAGGGTTTAGGGTTTAGGGTGATCAAACAGGCAATGAACTCCCAGCATTCGCACTGAGGCTTTGCGGACAGGAACAGGCGCAGAGCAACCCAAAACATCACCCTCAAACAGCCCAGAACCCACCGAACAGACGTCAATCCCCCAACCCTAAACCCTACAAGGTTTAGGGTCTGGGCTTTAGAGTTTAGGGTTTTTTCAGCTCTAAGAACCTTTTGTTGTGCTCCCTGCCTGCTTAGCAGGGGCCGGCACATTCGGAGAGCTCCGAGGGTTTGGGTGCTCGTTGACGTTGGGCCCGCGGAATTCAAGGATCTGTTGGGCGCAGTACCAGACACAGGATCCGCACCTGGGGGTGGTGTTGAGGGTTGAGGGTTTTGAATTCAGGTTGAAACTTAAAGGGTGTAAAGGACTTGGCACAAAATGGAGATCGTTTGGGGTCTTCTGGGGCTGCTGCGACGAAACTGTCGTTTCGGACAATCTGGGATCCAAAACGTCGGAGTTTAAGGGTCAAGCTTGAAATTGAGGTTTTTAGTGTTTAGCATGAAGGGTTGAGGGTTGAGGGTTGAGGGTTGAGGGTTGAGGGTTGAGGGTTGAGGGTTGCGGGTTGCGGGTTGAGGGTTGAGGGGTGAGGGGTGAGGGGTGAGGGTTGAGGGTTGAGGGTTGAGGGTTAAGTGGGCCGTCGAGTTTGGCGGTTTCAGACACGTCCGTGGGTTCTGGCTAAAGGCGATGGCGGCGCTGATGAGGGGCTTGTAACCCTTGTGATTTTCAGGGTGCAAAGCACACAGAAAGCAAAAAGGCTCACAGGGTTGAGTGTTCAGGGTTTAGGGTTTAGGGTTTAGGGTTTAGGGTTTAGAGTTTTCCGCTCCTCAGTGTCAAACCACTCCGAGGGACTTGATGCAGTCCACATTCCGCAGCTGGCCCAGGTCGTCGAACTCGTTGTGCACGTCCAGCTGCATGGGGCAGACCCTAGTACACCTTTGCTGGGCTGCCAGAAGGGGCTTAGCTTGGGAGGTTTCCCCTTATACGAACAGTTCCTTAGTAGGGATTCTCATAGGGGGTAGTATCATCCCTTTTAAGGATGACAGGTCTAAGGGGAACACCCCAAGGTTTGCCCAAAAAGGTTGACCTGTGGGTTTGCAACAAACAAAGGTTACAAAGGCCACAAACAGAGGATAGGATAGGATTAGGGGATTGGATTAGGGGGACCCTTGGGGATATAGACCCTCCGAATAAGGTCCCCGTTTAAGAGAGCCAGAAGAGGGTTACGAAGGGTTCCCGTTTTAAGTTCTCCTACCTTGAACAAACTCGGCCAAGGCGCTGCCCACACTTCAGGCAGGCGTCCGGGTCCACCAGCGTCACCAGCGGCTCACACTTGTTCGAGTTCTTGCCGAAGATCTTGTGATGGATCCAGTGCATCGCGATCTGCCAGGTTCCTAGGTTGGCTTGCTGAAAGCCCCCTGAAATTAAAAAAAAAAGTTCCGGAAGAGGGTCCCTTGCTTAAGCCTGCCAGCCTACCAGCCTAATTACCACCCTGCCACCCTACAACACCCTACAACACCCTACAACACCCTATAACACCCTACAACACCCTACAACACCCTACAACACCCTACAACACCCTACAACACCCTACAACACCCTGCAACACCCTACAACACCCTACAACACCATCACCCTACCACCCTGTCAAGGGGTCGCTTCTTGCACCCTACCACCTATTTCACCCTAGTTCACCCTATTTCACACTACCACCCTATCACCTTATCACCGTAAGTCCAAGTGTCCCATGGGGCAGACATAGCAGAAGGACCGAGGGCCGAACAGGACCCCCATGCCGATGACCATGGACACCGAAATGAGCCTAGGCTTCGGGTTCAGGGCTTAGGGCTCAGAGGGTTCAGGTCTTAGGGTTTCGACCTTCCCTATCCCCAAGATTCAGGTTTTAGGGTTTGGGGGTGTAGGCTTCAATAAACCCTAAACCCTAAACCCTAAACCCTAAACCCTAAACCCTACACCCTACACCCTACACCCTACACCCTAAACCTAAACCCTAAACCCTAAACCTAAACCCTGCCTTCTTGGGGCAACCTCGGAATGCAAAACAAAGTCCTCCCCGGCACCCTAAACCCTGAACCCTGAAACCAGAACCCTAAACCCTAAACCCTAAACCCTAAACCCTAAACCCTAAACCTCTCAGCCTGATCCTAGCAGCCACATCCGCGACCCGATCATCGCGATCTTCTTCCAGAAGTCGGGGCCCTCGAAGTCCTCGCGCGGGGTTTATGGAGGTTTCTTTTTGGTGTAGGGTTTAGGGTTTAGGGTTTAGGGTTTAGGGTTTAGGGTTTAGGGTTTAGGGTTTAGGGTTTAGGGTTTAGGGTTTAGGGTTTAGGGTTTAGGGTTTTAGGGTTTAGGGTTTAGGGCTTAGGGTTTACTATACTGAACTTGGAACCCTAGCAAAAATTGTAATTGTCGCTGTTTCTTAGGAATTAAAGTGCCCAAAAAATGTAACTTATTTCCAAGTATCCCTAAGTTTAGGGCTTGGCGTTTAGGGTTTAGGGATTAGGGATTAGGGTTTAGGGTTTAGGGTTTAGGGTTTAGGGTTTAGGGCTTGAAGGTTTCGAGGTTGAGGGCTGTAAGGTTATGTTTGGGGTTTGATGGCTTTAAGGTCCATATAACTCCAGACTGCGCCCGCAGCCCTGCACCTATCGCTGGGGGAGGTAGGGTTTAGGGTTTAGGGTTTAGGGTTTAGGGTTTAGGGTTTAGGGTTTAGGGTTTAGGGTTTAGGGTTCAGGGTTCAGGGTTCAGGGTTCAGGGTTTAGGGTTTAGGGTTTAGGGTTTAGGGTTTAGGGTTTAGGGTTCAGGGTTCAGGGTTCAGGGTTCAGGGTTCAGGGTTTAGGGTTTAGGGTTTAGGGTTTAGGGTTTAGGGTTTAGGGTTTAAGGTTTAGGGTTTAGGGTTTAGGGTTTCCGGCTGTTGGACTCCCTCGTGCGGTACCCAGAAACTACACCCAAAGGGCCCCACACCCCACATGCCCACCAGGGTCCTCGCACTCGATACACGCCATGATCACGCGGGTCACGAAGAACCTTGGTAGCCCAGGAATCACATTATGACAAGGGTGCCCTTTTTGGGGTTCCTTACTGTATTAGAAACCCTAAACGATAAACCCTAAACCCTAAATAAAACCCTAGAAAAGGGTACCACCGGGCTACCAAGGAACGTGATCAGGACGAGGAAGACCAGCAGCCGGACGGCCGGGTGCTTGAGGACCTAGCCGAGCCGGGATAGCTTCTGGGGGTTACGGTTTACGGTTTAGGGTTTAGGGTTTAGGGTTTAGGGTTTAGGGTTTAGGGTTTAGGGTTTAGGGTTTAGGGTTTAGGGTTTAGGGTTTAGGGTTTAGGGTTTAGGGTGTGGGGTTTGGGGTTTGGGGTTTAGGGTTTAGGGTGTAGGTCGGGATGTTCCCTCTTATACTAAGAGTCCTTAATAGAGGTTATAATAGGGGGTACTCTAAGCCCAAGGTGTAGGGTCTGTAGTTTCTGGTAGGGTGAGAAGAGCCCCAAATGAAGCTAGAGCGAACTTTACTGCTAGTAACTGCAGGTACCCAAACCCTAAACCCTAAACCCTAAATACCCTCCTGAACCCTAAACACTCCAGCTATAGTCACAAGTAACCGCTGAACTCCTAAACCGAAAATCTCATTGGAGGGTTTGGGGTTTAGGGTTTCGGGTTTAGGGTTTAGGGTTTAGGGAGGTATTAGTAAAAAGGGTTCAGGTTTGGGGCTTCTGGTCAAGGTTTGAATCTTTATTCAGCTCCTGAACCCTGAACCCTAAACCCCTAAACCCCCTAAACCTCGAAACCCTAGACCCCTATACACCCTCTACTATACCCGAAACACCTACAACCCTGAACCCCTAAATCCCTAGAAACCCCCTTCAACCCTAAACCCTAAACCCTAAACCCTAAACCCTAAACCCCCCCCCCCACCCCCAAATCCCTAGGGTTGCTCGCCGCGGCGAGGCCGGGCCTCCGGGATTTGGCCCACGGTGTCGGGGGCTCGGCGAAGCAGCGGCAACGCGAAGAGCTTTGCGTGGATGATGCCTCAACTGGGCTTAGGGGCTGAGGGTTTTTGGGTTTTAGGGTTTTAGGGTTTAGGGGTTCTAGGGTTTAGGGTTTAGGGTTTAGGGTTTAGGGTTTAGGGTGTTTAGGGCTTCCAGGGTTTAGGGGTTCAGGGGTGAGGGGTTCGGGGTTAGGTTTAATAGTCGAAAACCTCAAAATTTTGGAGAGTTGCATGGCCACTTTCACAGAAAGCAAGGCCAACAAACTACAAAACCCCAAGCCCTGAACACCAAACCGGGTTACCGAAACCCTAAACCCTAAACCCTAAACCCTAAACCCTAAACCCTAAACCCAGATACGGAGTGGTCCGTCCATGAGGGCGCCGCGGTCGCAGAAGTTTCCGCACCACTCGCGGCCGCGGAAGAAACCCAGAAGCGTGAGACCTCCCAAGCATGCAAATGGGTTGAGGGTTGAGCGCATTTAGGTGGGTTTAGGGAGTTTAGGGAGTTTAGGGAGTTTAGGGAGTCTAGGGAGCTTAGGGAGTTTAGGGAGTTTCGGGAGTTTAGGGAGTTTTGGCAGTGATTGAGGGAGTTTAGGGTGGTTTAGGGCCGAAAAGCCCTTCAAGCCCCAAAAGCTGCAAAGCCCTAACCCTAAACACTAAACCCCCCTAAACCACCTCACTCTCAACTCCCTCAACCCCCTAAACCCTAAACCCAAGACCCCAAACCCTAAACCCCCAAAGCCCCCTTAAGCCCCCCACCCCCGAAACCCAGTAAAAGCCTTAGTCAGCGGATGGGCGGCGCCTGACATGATGGGCACAAGGACCAGGCCAAACCATGGGAAGAAGAGGCCGCCGTAGGCCACCGCCAAGCATAGGATCCTCGGTTTAGGGTCTGGGGACCCTTTTTTAAAGACTCCTAAACTCCTTAAATTGCTTAAGAATCCCAAACAAATATTCAAAAAATGTTCTCCCTTACAAGGGTAATATAGGGATTAGTAGTAAATCTAAGGGCCAGAGTCGGAGTAGATAAAGGGAATCCTCTTAGGGGTACAACCGTAGGGGTCCGAGTCTGACCCCGTTGACAGGTGCCCTAAACCCTAAACCCTAATCCCTAAACCCTAAGCCCTAAACCCTAAACCCTTAGCACGGAACCTTAACACCCAGGAGTTCAGAGAGGTTGGGGTGCTTAGGGCGTTTGCGAGCTTGAAGGGCTTCGGGCTTTGGGTAATTTCGGGAGTTTCCGGGGCTTTTTGGGGCGTTTGGGCTCTTAGGGAGCTTGGGGCGGTAGGGGTTTAGGGCGTTTAGCCGGTTTAGGCTGCAGGGCTTACGGTAGCAACCGGGTGTTCAGGGGTTTAAGCTTTACGGCTTAGGGTATCAAGCGTGTCTCTATTTAAACTTTAGGATTTAGGGTCTATCTAAGGTCCGAGGATCCAGTACACGCGGCGGAACCAAGAGATGTGCTTGTAGTCCTGCCGAAAGAAAGGCACCGTCTTGCCTCGGAGCCACAGCGCACATAGGGCTTAGGGTTTGGGGTTTCGGGTTTAGGGTCTAGGGCTTGACAACAGCAAAGCCCACACGCGCGACCTACATTTGGAGCCGCTTTCCCCTCTTCTACACTTCGAGGGATTATAAAACTCCATTTTGGGCAACCCCAAACCCTAAACCCCAGACCCTAAACCCCTAACCCCTAAACCCTAAACCCTAAACCCCAAACCCTAAACCCCAAACCCTAAACCCTAATCCCTAAACTCTAAACCCCAAACCCCAAACCCGAAACCCTAAACCCCAAACCCTCAAGCCAAGCAGCAAAGCGGTGGGGCGTACACGGGCATCTTGATGGCCACGGGCTCGTCACCTTGCGCTTAGTGGCTTTAGGGCATTTAGGGCTTAGGGCTTACATAGGGGTTTAGGGTTTAGGGTTTAGGGCATTAGGACTTATCAGCGTCTTGTGAGGGTTTATTGCGGTCTCTTGGGGCCTTTTCGGGTTTTCGGGGACTTCACCCGCCAACCTCACATTGAAGCCCAAATACACCTATTTGGAGGGGCTACAGTGGGGTTGGGGTGTTGCGGGGTAAAAACCCCTACAACATCCTACAGCCCTGAACCTTGAACCCCACACCCCTCGGCCGCAGGCTTTAGGGTGGGGGTGTCAGAGGTCCTTCTGGATGCTTTGTAGAATTAGGCATTCTGTTTGGGGCCTACAGAGAAGCACCCTGCTACAGGTTTGGGATTGTCAGGTTCAGAGTGCACAGGGTGCCATGGTAAAGTGCGTAGAGTGCGGTTCAGTCAGGTGATGAATGGTAGGTCCACTCTAGCCACTATAAAGGTTGGGACGGCGAAAAAACTCACAGCTGCAGACGCTCACATAGTCACACAGTGTAACACCGAAACCTTCAGAACCCAAGCCCTAAGATCCAACAAACCGAGAAGTGCGTTACACACCACACTGCTCGAGATTGTAGGGTCTAGGTTTTCGTTTTTGGCTTCGGGCGACAAAACCCGGGGAGCTCCCCTTAATGAAGGAATACACCTCACATTGCAACAGGAACCCTGATAGGATTCAAGATCTATGCCAAAACCCCAAACCCCAAACCGTACAACAAGGTCTACTCCTCAACCCTAGACCCTAAACCCTAAACTCCAAACCTTGCAAGAAGGCCTACTCCTCTCAACTTCAGGGTTCTTAAGAGGCTCTATATACCTAAGTAGCCCTTACATAACCCCTCTAAATAACCCCTGAAGAACCCTTAAAGAATCCCCTAAAGGACTCCTAAAACAAAACCTGAGGAAGAGGACCCCTAAAGAACCCCGTCCCTTTAGTCCCCTTGGCTAACTGTCCAGAGCTCCCCTTCCCAGGGACTCCAAAACCCCTAAATTCAGGAATATCCCTTAAGATGAACGAAAAGGAACCCTAATATGATTTAAGGTCTATTCCTTAACTAAGGAATTACTTTTAACAAAAAGGAACCGTAATATGATTTATTTAAGGTATATTCCTTAACTAAGGGGTTTTGGAGTCTCTGGGTTCCCTCCCCAGGCACCCCCGCCTTGTGCCGACACCATGACGCGAGGGGCGTTGTTGTACCTTGTGTCTTGTGCACCCTAAGCCCTAACCCCTGAAAGCCCTAAACCCTGAAAGCCCTGAACCCTGAAACCCTAAACCCCTAAACCCTAAACCCTACACCTGAAAACCCCAAAAACCCTAAACCCTAAACCCTAAAACCCCATAACCCTATAACCCTAAACCCGAAGATGTTGAGGGTGTGCGGTTTAAAGCAGCGGGGTTGAGGGCTGTCGGGGTGAGGGCTTACATTCCCCGTAGAAAGGGGCCTATGAACTAAGGGTTTAGGGTTAAGGATTTAGGGTTTAGGGTTTAGGGTTTAGGAAAGAAGGTTTAGGGTTTAGGGTTTAGGGTTTAGAGTTTAGGGTTTAGGGTTTAGGGTTTAGGGTTTAGGGTTTAGGGTTTAGGGTTTAGGGAGTCGTGTTAGGGTTTCGGGTTTGGGGTTTTAATTAAAGGGGGACAAGGAATCTACGAGGGATTTCCGGGTTTACGGTTTGGGGTTCTATGAGGGATGTAAGATAAGAGTTTGTAAGGGGGGAGCCTCCGGATCGCAGGGGTCTGTGTGATGAGACGTGGTACTGTTGGACGTTGATACTGCAATTTCGGAACTGAAGGGTTTTTTACCACGGTGTAAACAAGCTACCACATAACGGCCTCCGATACACGCTCCGGGTGCAAAGACACCTTCATTTAGGGGTTCGGGTTTAGGGCTTAGAGCTTAGGGTTTTGGGTTCTAAGCCGCCGAAATCCCCAAACTCCATATACCAAACCTTCAATTTCCAAACAGACATGGGCCTTAGAATCCCTCAACATGCAGATTGATCACGAAGTCCCTAAATCCCCAAGCCCCAAACGCTAAACCCTAAACCCTAAACCCTAAACCCCCAAACCATAAATCCTAAAATGCCTAAACCCGGCGTGGAGAGCGCCGAAGCACTTGAGAGGTGCGCCTACAGCTCCACCACACCTGTTTAGGGTTTAGGGTTTAGGGTTTAGGGTTTAGGATTTAGGGTTTAGGGTTTAGGGTTTAGGGTTTAGGGTTTAGGGCTTAGGGCTTAGGGCTTCGGGCTTAGGGTTTGGGACTAGGATCATGGGTACTTCGGATTTAACGGTTTGGTTCATGGGTAGTTGTAGCTGGGGTTGCAAGAAAGGGTACCTATATGGGGGCGACCCCTAACATAGCACCCCAAACCGCAAGCCCCAAACCCTTAACCCTAAACCCCAAACCCTAAACCCCACAGGTTCCGGGTTCAGAATTTAGGGTTTAGGGGTTCAGGATTTACTGGGCATCCACTGCTGAATGAGGCCTTTGGCGAAGCTCGTTCCAAGCAGGCAGTATAGCCGGAACCCCAAAGTCAGGTTAGGCCCAGTAGTACATAAAAACCGGCGGTTTCCGAAATTGGGGTACCTTGTTTTGGGGTTCTTAGTATAAGGGAAAACGGCGGTTTCCGAAATTGGGGTACCTTGTTGGGGTTCTCTTAGTATAAGGGAAATCCAAGAAAGGTTTCCAGTTGAGGTTGGGGAGCTCCTTGTCCCTCTCTCCCCCAAAATCTTACCCAGGGGGGGTCGGCGAAGTCCTGAAACCCCACAGCTCTAGCAACCAAACCCTAAACCCTAAACCCTAAACCCTAAAACCATACTTATGACCCGACTTATAAATCCCTAAGGGTCCATGTACCTGATTATTATGTACTTGGGCCCTAAAGACCCTAAGTAGGAGGTACTTTAAGGCCCAAGCATTCCCTATTTAGGTCTAAACCCTAACCCTAAACCCTAAACCCCAAACCCTGCTTATAACCCTAGCCATGAGGTCTAGGGTTTAGAGTTAGACCCTAAACCCCAAACACTGAGCCCTCAACCCCCTGGTTCTTAGTAGGGAATGAGGGAATGAGGGCCCTATACCCTTTAAGGGATTCTATCGGGTTTAGGGTTCAGGGTTTAGGGTTTAGGGTTTGGGGTTTGGGGTTTGGGGGTTGGGGGTTAAGGGATTCTATAGTCTACCTCATTCCCTCATTCCATACTAAGAACCGGGCCAGTCAAACCCTCAACCCTCACGCCCGGGCCTGGCATCGACCACCTTCGTCTCAACGGCATCATCATCTGCCATGGCACACTTTCCTGCACCTGGGCCTACAGTCAAGTCCCCCACCCCTTGTGATCGGCTGCTTAAAAATGGCTGCAGGAGAACCTGCTGGACACGCCCCAGGCACATAAAGCTTAAGTCCTTGAACCTTCGCAGGCTCTAAACCCCTATGATTATGCGCCTAAACCGCCAAGTCCTAAACCCCAAAATCCTTAACCCTAAGCCCTAGAATCCCTAAACCCGCCGAGCAAGGCCCAAACCCTAAAGCCTCGGAGTTCCTGTCAACCCTTAGCTGAAGCCGCTACGGTGGGCACAAAGTCTACCTCAGGGGCCCACACCCCTCTTTCTTAGGGTTTAGGGTCTAGGGTCTGGGGGTCTAGGGTTTGGGGTTTAGGGTTTAGGGCTAAGGGTTTAGGGTTTAGGGCTTAGGGTTTAGGGCTCTAGTTCGCCGAAAGTGCCTTCCGTATACCTCAAGCAGACTCGAGGCTCCTCTACTTGAAGGTCATTCTGGGCATGAGCAAGGTTATACCTACAGCTGCCCTAAAAAGGAGGGACCCTGATTAAGGGACCTCAGGGGTTATTTAGGGGGCCACTTAGGTATATTTATATATATATATATAAGTAGAAGGATAGACCCTGCACTGCTTTCCAAAGGACTGAAGGAGGGACCCTTATAAGGGACCTGATAGAAGGTTTCTGTAGGGGTCTTATACCCCTTGACACTTACCATCTAGAATCCGAAGCCGAAATCCTGACCTCAAAACCTAAAACACACACCCTTCCAAGAGTGTTCGGGGCTCGACACAACCCTAAAGCTCTAAAGCCCTAAAGCCCTAAAGCCCTAAAGCCCTGAAGCCCTGAAGCCCTAAAGCCCTAAAGCCCCTGAACCCCAAACCCTGAACTCTAACACGCACAATGAACAGAAATGGGCGGCGGGCCTGACAGTGACGTCAGTGGAGCCCGCTGTGCAGTCTCGGCCTCTCCATGAACGACCTGTGCTCAATTGCCGAGCAAGCCTAAACCCTGAACCTGCCAAGTAGGCTTGGGCTGGAGGGCTGGGGGCCTGTTGATGTTTACACGGCTTGAGGCTGCATGGTGACTAGGGTTTATTTGAGGTTCACGGTCTAGGGGCTTAGGGGCTTAGGGGTTTCTAAGGCTTCGATTCTGGAGCTTGCTCTTTCATTTGAGGCCCAGGATCTCTTTAAGGTGCTTTCGGCAACTCGACCTCCAGCCCTGACCCCCCCTGAAGCCTCAACCCCAAACCCCGAACCCGAACCCCTAAACCCTAACCCCTAACTAACTTTGGAGGTTGAGTAGCTGCGGGCTTCTGGTGAGGCATCCGTTGGCGGGTTTAAGGATTCCCGAAGTACTGTGACATTTTCCCCGCCCAATGTAGGCAACTGTAGCACCAAAACTACTGCCCGCTGGCCTATTGCAACTTTTTGTGCACATATATTATGTATCCGCCGACCCGAGCTTTGAGCGGGGGAGGCGCTAGTGAAGACCCATAGTCTTGCCCCCCCCCGCCCCCCCCGCCCCCCCCCCCCCCCGCCCCCCCCCGCTCCCCTCGCCCTTCCCACCCCACTCCTGCCCACCCCTCCCGCTGCCTTGCTGTTAGAATGGAGTGTTTTCAAGGGCTCCAGTGCATGCCCGAACCCTCCCTTTGCCCCCGCCCCCCCCGCCCCCCCCGCTGCCCCCGCTCCCCCCGCCCTTCCCACCCCCGCCGACCCCCTCCACTGCCTTGCTGTCAAACTGGCGTGTTTTAAGGGCTCCAGTGCATGCCCCACTCCTGCCCACCCCTCCCGCTGCCTTGCTGTTAGAATGGAGTGTTTTTAAGGGCTCCAGTGCATGCCCGAGCCCTCCCTTCGCTGCCCCCCCCCCCCCCCCCCCCCCCCCCCCCCCCCCCCCCCCCCCCCCCCCCCCCCCCCCCCGCCGACCCCCTCCGCTGCCTTGCTGTCAGACTGGCGTGTTTTAAGGGGTTTAGTGCATGCCCCACTCCTGCCCACCCCTCCCGCTGCCTTGCTGTTAGAATGGAGTGCTTTTAAGGGCTCCAGTGCATGCCCGAGCCCTCCCTTCGCTGCCCCGCCCCCCCCGCCCCCCCCGCTCCCCCCGCTCCCCTCGCCCTTCCCACCCCTGCTGTTAGAATGGAGTGTTTTCAAGGGCTCCAGTGCATGCCCGAACCCTCCCTTCGCTGCCCCCGCCCCCCCCGCCCCCCCCGCTGCCCCCGCTCCCCCCGCCCTTCCCACCCCCGCCGCCCCCCTCCACTGCCTTGCTGTCAAACTGGCGTGTGTAAAGGGCTCCAGTGCATGCCCCACTCCTGCCCACCCCTCCCGCTGCCTTGCGTTTTAAGGGCTCCAGTGCATGCCCGAGCCCTCCCTTCGCTGCCCCCGCCCCCCCCGCCCCCCCCGCTCCCCCCGCCCCCCCGCCCCCGCCGACCCCCTCCGCTGCCTTGCTGTCAGATTGGCGTGTTTTAAGGGGTTTAGTGCATGCCCCACTCCTGCCCACCCCTCCCGCTGCCTTGCTGTTAGAATGGAGTGTTTTTAAGGGCTCCAGTGCATGCCCGAGCCCTCCCTTCGCTGCCCCCGCCCCCCCCGCCCCCCCCGCTCCCCCCGCCCTTCCCACCCCCCCTCCCGCTGCCTTGCTCCCCTCGCCCTTCCCACCCCACTCCTGCCCACCCCCCCCGCTGCCTTGCTGTTAGAATGGAGTGTTTTCAAGGGCTCCAGTGCATGCCCGAGCCCTCCCTTCGCTGCCCCCGCCCCCCCCACCCCCCCCGCTCCCCCACCGCTCCCCCCGCTTTCCTCCCCCCCCGCCCTTCCCACCCCCCCTCCCGCTGCCTTGCTCCCCTCGCCCTTGCCACCCCACTCCTGCCCACCCCCTGTTGGCTTGCTGATAGTGTTTTCAAGGGCTCCAGTCCATGCCCGAGCCCTCCCTTCGCTGCCCCCGCCCCCCCCGCCCCCCCCGCTGCCCCCGCTCCCCCCGCCCTTCCCACCCCCGCCGACCCCCTCCACTGCCTTGCTGTCAAACTGGCGTGTTTTAAGGGCTCCAGTGCATGCCCCACTCCTGCCCACCCCTCCCGCTGCCTTGCTGTTAGAATGGAGTGTTTTAAGGGCTCCAGTGCATGCTCGAGCCCTCCCTTCGCTGCCCCCGCCCCCCCCCCCCCCCCCCCCCCCCCCCCCCCCCCCCCCCCCCCCCCCCCCCCCCCGCCGAACCGCTGTTCCCTTGGACCTGCCACTACATTCCAAAGTTGCGATTCCTTTTCCCTTCAACTTGAAAGTCCAAACTCAAAGCCCCCAAACCCACACAAAACCCGAATCCCAAACTCCAAAACCATGCCAAACCCTTAAAAAGGAGAAGCGATCGAAGGAGGAGAGCCAAGATGAGCCTTCGCGTCCCCGAAAGGGCCGCGAGGCTCCATGTGTTGTTCATTTTTTTTCAACCCGGGGGTTAAGCTGTTCAGCGTTGCCCCTTGTGGATTTGGGTTCTTGGCGCTTCTTTGAGGGTTTAGCCTTGAGGTTTTCGGGTAAGGAGCCGTGCTTGCAGACGGTTTTCAGACTCCTCCTACAAACCAGTCCTTCCTGAGACCCCCTCCGCTGCCTTGCTGTCAGACTGGCGTGTTTTAAGGGGTTTAGTGCATGCCCCACTCCTGCCCACCCCTCCCGCTGCCTTGCTGTTAGAATGGAGTGTTTTTAAGGGCTCCAGTGCATGCCCGAGCCCTCCCTTCGCTGCCCCCGCCCCCCCCGCTCCCCCCGCTCCCCCCGCCCTTCCCACCCCTGCTGTTAGAATGAGTGTTTTCAAGGGCTCCAGTGCATGCCCGAACCCTCCCTTCGCTGCCCCTGCCCCCCCCGCTTGCCTTGCTGCCCCCCCCCGCTCCCCCCGCTCCCCCCGCCCTTCCCACCCCCCCTCCCGCTCCCCCCCCCCGCTCCCCTCGCCCTTCCCACCCCACTCCTGCCCACCCCTCCCGCTGCCTTGCTGTTAGAATGGAGTGTTTTCAAGGGCTCCAGTGCATGCCTGAACCCTCCCTTTGCTGCCCCCGCCCCCCCCGCCCCCCCCGCTGCCCCCGCTCCCCCCGCCCTTCCCACCCCCGCCGACCCCCTCCACTGCCTTGCTGTCAAACTGGCGTGTTTTAAGGGCTCCAGTGCATGCCCCACTCCTGCCCACCCCTCCCGCTGCCTTGCTGTTAGAATGGAGTGTTTTTAAGGGCTCCAGTGCA